CCCCCCCCCCCCACTGGCTCTCATAAGGGATCTGGCTGTGTTCTTTCAATGCCAGCTGCACTGCAGCGCTCACTTATGTAAAGCTGACTGACAAGTGCCTTTCTCAAAGGGCTGAAGGTTCAGGAGGAACAATGACATCAGTCATATGGACGATGCTCAATTCACAGGTGTGGAAAGAATAAATCCACACTATCACAGTTTTCTTTTATTCAATTAAAAAGTGCATTCTGAAGTCACCTAAACTCAAAGATCAGAACAATAGTCAGTGTTAGGTACCAAAGAAACCTGGGACAAAGGCTGAGTGCCTATTACCACATCAAAGCAGAAGCTGACTGCCAGGCTCTTCAGCATCACAAACACCTGTTACAGAGTCCAGGCTCCTCCCAGCACTTCTCACCCTGTCCCTGAGCTCCCCTTCCCTTCCCCCACTTCTCTTTCTTCAGCCATTTGGCCACAGGCTCTGGGTTCTGCTCTTGGATCTCCCTTGATCAGCTTGCCCTTCTCTCTCTTCCCCTCTCTCGCTCTCCCTTTTTCTCTCCTCTCGTGACCCTGTCTATTCTACTAGTCACGGTCGGTCTGGACCTTTCTTGATGCCTCTGGCTGTCCTCTCCCTCATATTTAAAGACCTTCTCCTTAACCATACCTAGGAGGGGCCATGCCCTCACTTTCACTCAGCCAGAAAGACCTTTATGCTGTATTAGCAGCATGAAATAGGCAGAAGTCTCGGCTGGAGCAGGGCTAAACTGTAAAGTGCTTGCCTCACATGCATAAAGCCTTGGGTCACCCCAGCACTGCATACACCAGGTGCTGGGACTTATGCCTGTAATCCTAGCACCTGGGAGGTAAGCAGGAGGATCAGAAGTTCAAGGTCATTCTCAGCTGTGGAAAGTGCCAGGCCTCCGTGGGCTATGTGAGACCCTAACTCTAAAGAATCTAAACCATAAAAGAGAAAATATTTCAGTTCTGGCAGCATGAAAGTTCTGACATTTCCACACGAGAAGGAAATGAAGCTATTAGACCCTCACAGGCTCCACTTAGGAGGCATCAAGGGTTTCAGTGACCAAGATTTCTGCTCCTTGTTACTAGGGTCAGGTTTACTTCAAGAGTATCCTCTGGGGTGGGGGTGAGGGTAGAAATGGTTTAAAGTTAAGAGGATGTACTGTGGCTAGGTGTGGTGGTACACACTTTTACTCCTACCACCCAGGCAGCAGAGACAAAGTGAGGTCCAGGCTAACCAGGGCCACACAGTGAGATCTTATCTAAAAAAAAAAGGGGGGGGGGCTTCTGCTCCTGTAGCCTGCTGCACCCTGTCATGGCCGCCAACCTTCAAACTGCTGCCCCAGAAGCTCAGACTGTGTGAAGGATCAACATGTCAGTCAGTTCTTCCCCAGGCACGAGGGTTCACTGCTGTTAAAGTTACCGAACTCGAAGGAGCACCCCACCCCCACCTAAGCTCCAGGTGAACCTTACCTTATGCAGTGAATATCCTGACTCAAATATGATGGGTGGGAGCAAGAGAAGGAAAAACATGTTGGGGCGAAACATTTCTTCTTCCTATGAAGTCAAAAAGGGAGGACACTCAGGAGTGGGAGTGCACAACCATGAGACCTAGCTATCAGTCCCCACAATAGAGCAAGTATTCTTAACCACAGTCATCTCTCCACCCACACCCCCACTTGGGTCTTTTCAAACCCTAAGTATTCACAAGCACCTTAATCTGTAGCCCAGGCTACAGTACTAGGTTCTGCCCCTGGAGTACCCGACTTCATCTGCATCTAATCAACTTAGAAAAACAAATATAGGCTATAGGGGTACAGCTCAGTGGTGAAGTCCATGCTTAGCATGCTCAAGGCCCTGAGTTCCATCAGCACCACATTAAAAACAAATGACTGCCCAGCAGGGTTCATGGCATTCACTTGTAGTCCCAGTTACCTGGGAGGCTGAGGCAGGAAGATTACAATTCCTGGATATAGAGAGACCCTGTTTTGAAAGAAACAAACCAAGCCAAGTCTGGTGGCAACTCCTTTAATCTCAGCACTCAGGAGACAGAAGAATCTCTATCCCCGGCAATTAGGCAAAATAAAGATAGGATGCATGCTTGGAATCCCAGCACCAGGGATGCAGAGACATGATGGTTTCAAGGCCTTCCCACCTGGCCTACATAATGAGTTCTAGGCCAGGAGAGACCTTTCTAAAAAAATAAGGTGGACAGCAGAGGAACATGTGACACCCAAGATTATTGGCCTCTGGTCTCCACACATGTGCTCATCCATCCACACACACAATGACAAGCAGAGCTGTGATTATGTCAAACCTACCTTCCAATTTGCCAGCTTTTTAAACTCTATAATTTTTATAACTGCTCCCATGAGAATACCTAGAAGGGAGAAAAGCAAAGTCGAGTAGAAATACAGCCTAAGGTTGCCTGGCTGGACTGGGCAGTGCCCTAGACTGGGTGGTACCCACTAGAGCAGGCTGTCCTAGAGCTCTGCAGGTCCAGGTCTGAGAATAAGAACAGGAATTGCCAGGAAGTGGGGTAAATCACTGAGCTGCCATGTGGGTACTGGGAATTGAATCCTGCGGAAGAGAAGCCTATGCTCTTAACTGCTGAGCCACCTCACCAGTTCACTAATATTTATTCTTAATAACTGGTAAAACTATTCAGGAAAAGCCAGGCTGTGGCGGCACATGCCTTTAATCCCAGCACTCAGGAGGCACAGGCAAGTGAATCTCTGAGAGTTCAAGGCCAGCCTGGTCTAAAAGAACAGGCCTCCAAAACTACAAAGAAACCCTGTTTCAAAAAACCAAAAAGAAAAATCAAAACAAAAAACCCCAGCTATTCAGGAAACTGTCCATTCCCTGAAGCAGCTTTTTAACCCCTTTCTGAAATGCCCCAGAAAGGGAGGGAGGCTCTGGTCTACAGGAGCCATTAGCCAGCTGTAAGGCTAGGGGCCTTCTAGCTCTAACTGACTCTGCAAGCTAAATGCCAGCCAACTTAGTGGAGCAGGACACTGTCAGGTGAGAAGCAGTAGGCCACAGAAAGATGGCTTTTCCATCACCTTTAGGGGGTCAGTACCCCTCTCAGATTCCTCCCCGCCCCCAACACACATTGTAAAATGGACTCTAAGGCCCTGTGGTGAACTGTGGAAAGGTGACCCCAAGAGAAAGAGTGTTATTGTGTACCAGTGCAGTGTTCTGGACTGCCAGTATCACTTACCTAGAGAAACAACAGCCACACTCTCAGGCAGGAAGTGCAGTCGGTACCGGATCAGCAGGTGCACCAGGATGATGCAGATGGCTGCGAGAGGCACAAGAACTGTGTAAAAGCCCCATCAGGTAAGAGACAGCAAGCTCAGGGCTTGCTAAATGTCAGCAAACAATGAACAGTGGTCATATTTTTAGTGTTTTTTTCCTTTTTTTTTTTTAAACAACAATAGACTACTTGTAGAGTCTGTGAGATGGCTCAGCAGACAAAGGCATTTCTGATAAACCTGACAACCAGAGTTTGATTAGCATGACCAACACACAGGAGAGACTCTCTACTTCTGAGGTCTGTCTCAGATTTCTCTCAGACCTCTGAGTGTACATTTGCTGCATATATACACACGCATGCATGATCTTTATTTTGTGTATACATGTGAGTGCCTACATGTATGTATGTGCGCCATGTGAATGCAATTCCCAATGGAGGCCAGAAGAGGGCACTAGATCCCCTAGAACTGAAGTTAGAAGCCACTGTGAGCCATTGTGTGGGTGCTGGGAATTTGAACTTGGGTCCTTTGCAAGAAATGCTCTTAACCACTGAGCCATCTCCAGTCCCACAAATGGTATACACACACACACATCTATATATCTATATAGATATATTTATGTTTTTGATTTTTTTTTGGGGGGGGGGAGGACAGGGTCTCACTATATAGCCCTCATTTGTCTGACCAGGCTGGCTTCAAACTAACAGAGCTCTGCCTGCCTCTATCTCCTGGGGCTGGGGCTAAAGGTGGATAGCACCTATTTCTAAAATAACTGTGGGGCATAACACAGAAGGTACAGCTCTGGCTACAACCCTCTCCTCGGAGCTTTACATGGGTTCTCTCAGGATGGAACTCGGGCCACCAGGCTTGTGTGGCGAGTGTCTCTACCTGCCAAGTGCTGGGATTAAAGGCTGTGCCACCACCACCCAGCATTAGACAACCACTTAAAAAGGTTCACATTTTCCTGATTATAATACATGTCCTGCTTTCTTCTTTTTATTGCTGAGTTGTTGTTTTTTGGGTTTTTTTTTTTTTTTTTTTTTGATTTTTAAGACTGAGTTTCTCTGTGCAGCCTTGGTTATCCTGGAACTCACTGTGTACACAAGGCTGGCCTCAAACTCAGAGATCCCTGCATCTGCTGGGAGATTAAAGGCATGCACCACCACCACCTAGTTTTGTTGTTGTATTTTAAGCCTTGGTCTCAGATAGCCTATGCTGCTGTATTTGTTATGTACAGGAGTATGGGAGGATGACCATCAATTTCCGATTTTTTTAAGTTATAAACTGATTGGCCTATTAGCTCAAGCTTTGTATTAGCTCTTATAACTTATATCATCAGCTCATTATTCTTATCTATGTTAGCCACATGGCTCAAGTACCTTTTTCAGGGAGGCAGGTCACGTCCTGCTTCTTAGGTGTCTGGACAGGACTGTGGAGGAATGGGCTTCCTCCTTCCCAGAACTCTCCTGTTCTCACTGACCCACCTCTACTTCCTGTCTGGTTGTCCCACCCATACTTCCTGCCTGGCTACTGACCAATCAGCATTCATCCAAAACATAATTGACAGAATACAGGATTGTCCCACACCACTTCCCCCTCTTTTTTTTTAAACAAAGGAAAATATCCATAGTCCATTTTTTGGGAATGTGGGCATAGTTTTCCAGGCTACTTCCTGCTGGTTGGGGGCGCTGATAATCTTAATGGGGACCTAAAGAAAATTTCTTTTTCTTTTTTTTTTTTTTATAATTATTATTTCTCTCTCTTTTTTTTTTTGTTTGTTTTTTTGTTTGTTTTTCAAGACA